CAAGTAAATTTTATTTTTAAATAAAGTAGAATATAAATGCACTCACACGAACCTCAAATTTTCTCTCTTTTTCTTGATTTTTTCTTGTTAGATGCAGGCTTCTCTATATTGGAGACCCTTTTAATCTATGAAATCTATTGTTTTCACCATAAGGTTTGTAAAATTCACAAGTGGTATTACTGTTTGCATGAATGGATGCAACTAATGAGTAACAATAATTAATTCTCTTAATGAAGTGTTTGGATGCATGGTGAACTGGACTTGGGAACACTCAATAATGTTAAATTAGGTTCAGCTCCCTAACCTTTCACGTAATATGGTTATAGGTCCTCAACTTTTAAAAGTGAAGTTTCCAACTTGGGCCATTACTTGATAAATGTTTTTGTACAACATGGAAAACTGATAATTTACACTGTTTCCTCATTACAGCACATGGAGATTATAATTTGGTGTACAAGACATCAATTTTTGAAGAATGTAAGATCTCGGCAATTTTGCATTGTGGTGTTCACTTGTTCGAGATAGGAAATCAGCTGCTAGTAAGCGTTCAGGGCCTGATTTTTATTTGAAGATAGAGTCCAGCAGGCAAAATAGTTCTACCATTTTCGTTGAGGAAGCACTTTCAAATCTTGAGACAAATGGAGGAAATATGGATAATGATATAGAAGAGTTATCCATTGCATCTTTGCAGAGAGATGGAGGCTCTTTATTTTCTTGGGTGAAGTTACTTGGAAACGGAGGGTGCTATCCTTTCGAAAATCTTCGAGCTGCTACTAACTCGTTGTTCTTACAAGGAAATTCTGATTTGGTGGTTGTAAAGCAAGCTATAGTATCCTTTCAAGTGGTATTTGGTTTTATTTTAATCATTCATATGCTTAATATGGGAATTAGCAATGGTGTCATTTCTCATATAAGCCTCTACATATGTAATTAATTGTGTATCAAAGGCTATCTTAAAGTTAAACTCATTTAAAGTGATCTTAAAGTTATTGACTTTCGACATGTAATATGGTATAGGCCTAAATATGTGTAAAGACCATATTCCTTTGGGTTGTATTTCATGATGGACCAAAATACATTTGAAAGATATATATAGAGTCACGATCTCCAAATCGCATGGGACTTCTTATTTTTTGTGTCATCCTATCAACATAAGAATAATAAGATAAAGCGTATAAAGGAAACCCGCAATCAAGAACAAGCAATTAAGATCAAGAAGATATATATAAGAAAGAATATGTAATTCAAGATTCAAAATCAAGATCCGATAGTCAATTTCAATTCCCAATGGATCAAGGTATGTTTCGTACTTTTAATTCTCTTGGTGATTTGACATTGAAGATCTTGGCATCAACAAAAGAAAAGGGTTTTTCAAGTTCTTAAAATTCAAAAATTTTAAATTCTAATAAGTGGTATTAGAGCCAACTTCATGTTAAACGATTAAAAAAAAGGAATTTTGGGATTGAAATTCATACTTTGGATTTCTCAATTTTGGAATGTGAATTTTAGCCCTAAATTTCAGTTTTTTTAGATTATTTGGGATTTTTTTTCAAAATTAAAGAATCGCTGCAGAGCCGCATTTGGGTGCTACGGCGTTGCATTTTTGGTATTCGGGCAATGTGGTTGCCCTAAGGCCAGTGCTACTGCACTATGTTCCTGTTCTATTCTTTTTTAAACAAAAAGAAAAATAAAAATAAAAGGAAGGGCAATCAAATTCAAATCTTGGTACTAAAAGTTTCTTTTGGATTTCAAATTTTCTAAAATAAATTAATTGAAACAACATGTTGCCAAAGTAACGTTTCTTATCTAAATTGATTTATTTTGAATATTATGATGGTTGTGTGTATGTAATTCATGCAAATATTGATCGACTCAAAGAAAGTAAATATTTGATCGAATTACATGCATACCCCTTGGTAATAAATATGTGACAATTATACCTTTTTGTTTTTATGTGAACAATAAGTCGGTCCAAAAATACATTTATTGTTTAACATAGTTTATTGTTAATATTACTATATCAAAAGTACCACTTATACGTTGATATTTCTGTCAGAAGACTAAATATCAATGTTGTGTTTGGTCTTTTGTGATGGGGTTCACCTTTATTTGAATTTATTGATTATTTTATACGGATTTTTCTTGTGAACATGTATTTTTGAATTTTTTTTGTTCTCTATTAAGTTAATTCATCTGTTTCGACAATATTTTCCAACACCAACTTTACTTCTGTGCTTAATGGAACCAACTTTAAGGATCGAAAAGAGAACGTTCATATTGTTCTTGGCTGCATGGATCTAGACATTGCTTTAAGGACTGAGCAACCCGCTGCACTTATGGATAAAAGTTCAATTTATGAAAAATGGGACTTCGATAAATGAGATCGTTCAAATCGTAACTCTTATGATCATGAAGCGTGAAATTCCAAAAACATTTGAGGCGCTATGTCTAATAAGGTAAATATTGTCAAGGAATTTCTTGAAGGAATTGAAAAACGCTTTGCAAAAAGCGATAAGCCGAAATTAGTATGCTTCTGGCAAACTTAGTTTCACTAAATTATAAAGGTAAAGGAAACATTCGAGAGTACATCAAGGACATTTCTCATCTTGGGTCAAAACTAAAGGCACTAAAGTTGGAGTTGTATGATGATTTGCTCGTGTATTTAGTTTTGATTTCTCTCCCTACACAATTCAGTTAATTTAAGGTCGAATATAACTGTCAAAATGAGAAGTCAACTCTTAATAATCTCGTTTCATATTGTGTGTAAGAAAAATAAAGGCTAAAGCAAGAGAGAACTGAAAGTGCTCACTTGGCTTGTAATTCTAAGGACAAGTTCAAGAAAAGAAAAAATAAGGAAATTGTATCTGGATTTGCTAAAAAACAGCAAAGACCAAAAAATGATGAATTATTTAGCTGTTAGTTTAGTGGAAATTTGGGCACATGATGAGGGGTTATACCAAATATCATGCTGGCGTGTAGAGAAAGATATACTTCTCACTTTGCTATGTTCTAAGATTAATTTAGTTTCAGTTCCTAGACATACTTGGTGGATTGATTCTGGTGCCACTACTCAGATAGGTGTGCCTATGCAGGGTTGTCTGAACAGTCAAAAGCCAGATGATGCTGAAACATTCATCTATGAGGGCAGCAACAAATCTGTTGAAGTTGATGCTATATAAACTCTTAGATTATTATTATTAAAGACTAAGTTTTATTTGAATTTGAAAGAGACTTTTGTGGGACCGTCTTTTAGATAGAATTTGGTTTCTATTTCTATATTTGATAAATTCGGTTATTCTTGTTCATTTGAAAATAATAAATTTAGTATTTTTCTTAATTCCAATGTTGTGGGTACCAGGTCTTTATCGGTATATAATAATCTATATTTGCTTAATTTGGTTGCCTCTTATAATGAAACATTGCAATGAATTCGCGAGGTATTAAATGCAAATTAACCAATAATAATTCCGCTCAGTTATGGCACAAGCGTTTAGGTCACATCTCTCGAAAGAGAATCGAAAAGCTTGCATTAGAAGAAATTCTTGATCCTCTTGATTTTTCAGACTTAAGTACATGTGTTAATTGCGTTAAGGTGAAACAAACAAATAAACATAAGGAGATTAGGTTTCAATAGGACTTTGGACGTCTTAGAACTAGTTTATATGGATATCTATGGGTCATTTCCTTCGGCTTCTTGGTATGATCAACAGTCATTTATTATGTTCATAAACGATTTTTCATGTTATGTCTACCCTATCTCATTCATGAAAAATCTCAATCATTGGACATGTTCAAAGCTTACAAAGTTGAGGTTCAAAATTAACTCAACAAAAGAATAAAACACATCAAATTTGACCGTGGTGGTGAATAATATGGGAGATATGACGGATCAAGAGAACAACATCCAAGACCTTTTGCTAAATTCTTAAAGGAATGTGGAATCGTCCCACAGTATACCATGTCAGGATCCCCTATCATGAATGGTGTTGTCAAAAGATGAAATAGAACATTTAGGACATGGTAAGGAGTATGGTTAGTCATTTCACCTTATCAGAATCTCTCGAAGAGAAGTCTTCAAGAGTACATCTTATATTCTCAATATAGATCCAAGTAAAGCAACTGTCGAACCCCTTATGAGCTTTAGATAGGCAAGAAGCCTAGTTTGAAGGACTTTCACATTTGGGGTTGTCCGCTGAGGTAAGGCCTTATAGGCCAACTGAAAAGAATTTGGACTTCAGAATTATGAGTTGATATTTTATTGGATATACTGAGAAGACAACTGGTTACAAATTCAATGATCCCACTAACAAGTAAATTTTCAAAATGGGGAATGCCCGATTCTTTGAGGATATGGAGTTTTCGGGAGGAGATGATATTGTCTTTGAGAGGGAATATGTAACTATTCTTTTTGTTG